TGTAATTGGTGTTGGTTTAGTGAACTGTCTGAGCTGTGTGAATGTAACGGTGCTGTATGTTTATATGTGTGTTGTTTTGTGGGCTTTCATATGTGCTTTAGTTTTGTTGATAATTTTTTGTTAACATGTTTGTCTAGTAGTACTTTATTTATTGAAGGAAAAATCCAAAAAACCTACAATTATTATTCAAGCTACGCTTCCTTGTCTGTTTACTTCTGTACGAATTGCACACGTGTTGTATGTTGGAGCGGAATAGAGGCATATTTTTTTCTCCGTTGAGGTAAAAATAGTTTGATATCTTCAAGATATTCACTAAAATCTTGTGCGTAGATATCTGAAAAACCGGCTGTTTCATTGGGTTTCATTAGAAGTTTTTTTAGGTTTCGATCTATTGCCTGTCGTTGTATTGTATCCATTTAAATGAGAAGTTCCTAAAATTGTTGGGTTTTGATCTGATGTTGTAAATAGGATTGTGAGTAAGTTCTTACTGATTGCATATCAATATTGCGGTTTCTGGCTTTTGCGCGTATAGTTACAGGTGGAAATTACTTTAGTGATGGCATCGTTGTGGGGTATGGTGTATGGAGATAGTATTTATCTTTTTTGAGATTTAATTGTACTAGGTTGCATCTATATTCTGATCCACATAAGACGGCGGGATCCCAAGCATTTGTGCGTCGTGAGAATTGTCGACAAAATGAACCTTTTTTTCAGAAAACAAAACTATTCGCTGAGAGCACCGCTTGTCTGCAAGGACGTATAAAAGTGACTTTTTTGAAGCTTGAATTTCTAAGCCACAAAGAATTGCTCCAAAAAAGTGTGATTTATTAGTGATAGTTCTTGAAGACGTGTACTATCAGGATTTTCTGAAAGGAGTTTGCGACGTATTTGTTCATTGTTTTTATAGATTGGGACTGGTTTGTAAGGTTTTTCATCGTCTCTGGTTTGATTCGTGTCGGCCTCATTAATGATAAGTTTTCCTGTTTTCATATCATACCCTTTATTTTATTAAACTAGAGTTTGGGAATATTGGCTTTTAAACAGGGGTTTGCAAAATTTGCATGCGAATTGGGTTTTCGGTTTATTTGTTATTTTACTTGTTATTTTATTTTAATAACTTTTTGTGTTTTTAAAAAGATTTTAAGCTGTTTTTGCTCTATGGGGTTTACTTGATCAAATGGTATAGATTCTAGAAAGTTTTCTTATGAAAATTGATAATTTGTGCTTGGATTTTAGCGACTTGAAAAATTATGCAGGCCTTTTCAGAGAGCCAACCAAATTTTGCCCCTGTACCAGTTGTTTTGCCTGTGTACTAGTTGTTTTCTCAAATCAAAAACAATTTTTATTGATCAGCTAGATGGGTCATTTATGCCAAAGTTCAGCTAGATGGGTCATTTTTTTCTTGTTTGATCAGCTAGATGGGTCATTTATGCCAAAATGAGGTATTAAATTTGTATCGAGGAGATCATAAATTAATCGTCTATGTGCGCCATGATAGGGATAGTTATCGTCAAATAGTGTTTGTCCTTGACTTTTTTCAAGTTGATGTTGATGTTGATGCGTGTACGAGCTTCTTCTTTAATTTTGACTCAATCTAAACTTGGTAGTTCGCTTTGCAAGTTTCAGTTTCAAAAAATAATAAACTTAAAAAATTACTAAGGTTTTGTAATTCGTGATCAAATCTATTTTTGTTACCCCTTGAAACTTGTGAACAGTGTACTTTCTTTTCATATAATTTTGTTGCAAGGAGTTCTTGTGCTGATAGATTGTCGGTAAACGTTCATTCTAAATGAGCTAAAAGGTAAAAGATATTTAGTTTTGGTACTAATAAAAGATACATGTATATGATAATCCTGAAGAGGGACTGTAAAAAGATGTAAAACCAATTTTGTTATATCTGTCGTTTTTATATATTAGTTCAGTAGAATTTAATAGAGGGGGTAAAACTTTTACTGTAATTACTGGTTGATACAATGATAGTCGAGTAATTATGGGAATATTTAACTGTAATCTTGGGATAGTATTTGGATGTTATGGTCTTGTATATCTTGGTGAAAGTCGCGTCGATTTTGTAATCGGTTTAATGCAAAATTTGAAGTCGAGTTCTATCTAAATGTGGAATAAATAATGAGGGAGTTGCTTCAAAAGAGTTCCAATCAAGCATTGATGGTTTAGTAGTGTTCTGTAACTTTTGATATCTAGTGTTTAAAATTTGTTGTAAGCTTATTGGAAAAGTGCATAAGTTTGCTAGACTTGTTTTTGAAGGTTATGATAGTAGTAAAAATGTTTTTGGGAGAGGTGATGATGCTGTTCCTCATGAAATCTTGATTCAGTCTTACAGTAAATTTGGTTCACCGTGCGGATGATGATAGTTCGTCCAATACGGTGGTCTTTGGGAAGGTGTTGGGGGATTAAACGAGTTTTATCTTATCAGTGCAGAAGTTGGGGTTGAACCTAAAAAATCTGATGGTATGTTTGGTGTATATGGTAGTGAATTTATATTCTGAATTGTGAGAGTAGATGCTACAGTGCTTCTCTGCGGGGTTGATGAGGTTGATGGTTCGGATGGTGAGCTAATATTGAATTGAACTTTTGCTGTTGTTAATTTCCTATTTCTTCTTCAGTGAATTATTTGTCTATCGATTGTTGTTTCTTGTGATTGGTGTAGACAATGATGTCTTGTTCTGCTTAAATCTTGAGGCAGTATTGGGCAAATTTCATAAGTTTGTTCGTATTGTGGTTCACTAATGGTGCATTCTAATGTGCTGTGGTCAATAGTTCTGATAGTCGTGCTTGTCGCTCTTCATAAAGGGTTGGTTTTCGACGTAAGAAGTTTGGATAAGTTTTTCAAAATTGGTTTGTAGTGTTTTTGGGTTAGTTTTTGTTTGGGGTCTTTAGGTTGGTTTAATTGGTGGAGAGTTTGTTGTCGGAGTCTGATCAGCAAATTTGAGTTTTTTGTTTTTGTTTGTTTAAGAAGCTATATGGTCTTTGTAAAATTTTTTTGGCTGTCTTTTAATGTGTAGCAGCGAAACCGTTCACTTTGTATTTTATGAGCCGTGTGGGCGGATTATTTAAAAACTCAAAATTATTGCTTCTTTTTCGTTCCATTTTCCGAAAATTTCATCATTTTTAAAGCGAACTCTCTAAAACAATGGTGAATTTTTCGAGAAAAAAAATTACCTTGGTTTTAAGTTATTTTAAATTACCAACTCAAACGCCATATAAAGTAAAAAGTGATCGATTTCGCTTCTAGTTACGCAAAAAATAGGGAAACATAGCCTGTTTCAACCAATTTGGAACGATTTCTATGAGGGGCTCAATTTCCGCTAACGCGTTACCAGTGCGAAGTAGATTGCGCATTAATTGTCCTAAATTGGTTATATTGCCAATAGATAAACCCTCAATACTTTATGAAAAAATGATCACAGATAAAACACTTTTTCAAGTTTGATTTGAGGCCATCAGTACCTTTCGGCTGATATAAAAAAATTACGTCAATTTCAGCTAGTTAAAAAGTCGAAGTTTGCCTTCAAAAAAAACCATCCCGACCACAAATATTCCATTATTTTCGTTATGAAAGCCGGAGCAATAAAATGTTCATTCCGTTATTTTGTTTCAAGAAATCAAATCATAAGGTATTAAAGTTATCTTATTTGAGAAATTTTTTAATTTCCGATATAAATTATTCAACTGGATAACTCCGTATCCTTGCATTGTAAAAAAGAGATCGAAAGGTTTCACGCTAAACACAACTGATTTTTCTTCCGATTTTCGAGGAAAATGGAATATTTATGCTCGGTGTGGTTTTTTTTTATTATTAAGTCAATTTTCGCCGATCGAAATAATAGTTTTCAACAAAATTTTTTATATCCCATTGAAACCATTGACTTCCCCAGTTCAAAATCAAAAAGATATTTCACCTCCAATTATTTTTTGTAGAGTTCTGGTGGTTTGAAAATTGCCAAATCGGCCATGTTCTGACTAATTTAAGCGCGTTTTGAAGAGAGTTTATTCATAAAGCTGAGGGCTTGTTTATGCGGGGCGAATTATGGCGCCCAACATCATCGTTCCAAATCGATTTGAGGCTATCTAATCGGTCTTTTAATTTCGTACGACTCAAAATTTTGCACTTTGATATCGTTCAAAGTTTAAAGGTTTTCAATATTTTCTTTTTCCGAAAAAAATATGACATGATTTAGGGGACAATGGAAACATTCAGGGCTTTGCCCTGGTATACGAACAGTCTTTGTCTTAATTTTGTCGAAAGCAAACGTTTTTTCAGCTCAAATTTTCCTGTCCCATCCGAGAAAAAGAAGGAAGTTTCAAGTAAGAACCATTTTATTTTCTTCTACGTTGGATTGAGCGTGTATCTTCCTATTATTGAAAATGGGGCAGATTTTTTATTCGGATGCGTTTTAGCTTCTTTTTCTTTTTGTTTTCTTTTATTTTGTTTTCAACGCAAAATCGTTTGAAATTTTTGGTGTTTGATCTCATTTCGAGCAAATAAGGTGAGCGAGCAGCATTAAAATAGCTTTAAGCCGTGAAAACCTAGTTTTATTCAATTAAAAATAGTTTTGGAGGTTGATGGCGCCATTTTTGGACTAAAAAACTTTCAAATTTTTTTTTTCACAATGTGACATTTTTTTGGACTTCTACGATTTTTTTTCGTTTTTCTATTGATTTTTTTTCCAATTTGCCTGTTTACCAATTGGCCTATTTTATTATGACTGTCGAATATGGTCGGAACATTCTGTGCTTCTTGCACAGTAACCTGCCGTCTCTCTTTTCATATGCAAATCATTCATACAATTATCGAGCACTATAATTTCTTCATAACGCTCGTAATGCTCGTTTGTTTCTTAAACTCACGATGCAAAAAATTTACGGTGGCTACTTTCAATCATCGTACTCAGTATAACTTTCTATTCTTCAAAGAGAGATGAATTATGGTCTAAGGACTTTTTAATACGTGTTGTTATTTACTCTATAAGGCTTCAATTAGAAGCAAAACAATATATATTTTTTGTATAGATCAAATCAAACTTAGAGCAGATGATTTTGGTGGCTAATAATTCACGTGTATCGTAACAGTTTCACGCTGTTTTAACTCGAACAATAACGCTGGTTTCAAAAACTGAAAGGCTCTGCTTTTCATATATCACGTTTCCTTTGAAATCGAAACGTAATTTGGGAAAATTTTTGACAGCGCGGATTTAATTTACTCCTTTCTTAAAAAAGAAAAGGAACCAAAAATGCCGGGTGAAAAAGGTGAGTTTTTATTTTTTTAAATTTTTTACCTTCTAATCTAATCAACTTTTTCATATTTTTATACCAGAATTACAAAAAGTGTTTGGGTGGTCGCTTAACTAAAACCTAAATTGTTTCATTTAGCATCTCGTCTCGGAGCTTCTTCTGTTGCTGCAAAAGTTGTGATCGTAACATTCTGTGATATTTATGTTTTAGACAACACGTCGCAGGATACGCACCGAAGTAGCACTTCCGCTATGTCGCAGGCGGGGGGAAGCGAGTTGCCACCTCTGCCCACGTGGGTAGACAAGGAGTACAAGGGAGTCAAGAAGGAGTTCCATGACATCAGGGGAAAAATTATGGAGGCACAGCCAGATAGGTTTGTACTTGTTAATATCAAAGGAAGTTTTCTTTTTGCAGAAAAAGCGAAGAGCAGAAATGTTCAATAGCGGACCAACGCGGCAAAAAAAAACACGATTATTATGATTTTTAAACTACCCTATCCAAAAAACTGATCCAATTTCCTGCGCAGCTATTGCCAGGGATGGATTTAGACGAATCCAAAGGATCCGTAAAAACTAAAACGAAGTCCTCATCCCCTTCCTTATTGTGAGTAATAGTATGTTAGTTAAATACTATTAATATTGTAATAGAATGTTAATATTGTTCATTAAATGAATGCAAAAAGTTATACTGTAGTATCTAACCCTCCTTCTGATGTTCCAACAAGGGGGACTTGTTTTGGTAAGTCTGCGTTTTGTTGTTTCAGGGAGCCATACATGCCCTACTGTTTCAACTCCTTGCTCGCATACACAAACACAGACGTTTCTCATTACGCATTATACAAGGTAACTGCACAAATTAATTTTTACTTGTAAAACCTGTTTTACTTGTTTATACTTTTTACTTACAAAACCTGATGAGTTTTAACTTATTTTCGTATTTATGTCGCTTATTGGGTCTTTTCTGCAATTGGAGAATTTTTTTAAAATGTTGCAGCTCTAATCAAGACTAAAAATGTGTTTTAGAATGAAAAATAGCCCACCAATTACTATTTGAGTTAACTGATTTTGCATGAAAAAAAAACATGTAAACACCTGAATCAAATGTGATTTTCAGCCAAAATTAGTGTTGGGACGTAAATTCTGCTTATCCTCGGAAGGTTCTGTGCATTTTGTGTTTTTGTATAGAGGTACGAGGAGATGCCGGGCACGTACTGTCAGAGACGGACTGCAATCAGGATCACAGACCCGGAAGTGTCGTGGAAGATGGACAATGTCCTGTTCCTCTCAGACTACGAACTGTACCACAAACCATTTGCTCATGACGAAGAAGAAGAAGAAGACGAATTTGAAGACGACGGAAAAAAAGTTAGAGGAAATTTTTTGTATCAACCGTCAATATCCCCAAAACTCCTCAATATCCCCTCCCCCAATCCAGTCGATTTAGAAAAAAAAATTGACAACACATTAATGGAGCAGTTTCAGTTTCAGCCAGATTTCAGGTTTTCCCTTTGGTACTAGTTTCTGTTACAAACTTCGCGAGTTTTATCAAGTTTCTGAGCTTTATCAAGTTTTATCAAGTTTGTCGCACAGTTCGAAAAATTAATTGAAACAGTTTTGTAAAATTAAAAAAGAATCATAATAAGGAAAATATAATAGAATGTAAAATTAGATAATATCAAACATATAAAAGTATATTATTGCATCCCGGGTTGACCAAAACTTCTTATCATACAATTTTCACAAATGAAAAACTTGTTATCATATAATTCATTCAATGCCATACGTACAGAAAACTGTATGAAATCTCTTTGATAAACACTTTCCATATATGATTTTTTATGACAAATATTTTTCCATAAACCATAAAGTTGATTTTTTTTTCTAAATTTCGTTTCTGAAAAAATTTGAGTTGTGTTCGTAACCCAACGCAAGCGACACAGACCTTGGTTTACTCAAAGCACCAAAGGTTGGCCGGTCTTGCAGTTACAAGGCATAGAAAACGAGCTGAATTGCCTTAGAGATGTCTTTCACAAATGATCTAACAAAAGTAACACACTTTCAAATTTTGGCAAAACTTTTCAACGATGTTTTTTTTATTTGAATTTCTAAGTTATCAGATATTTATCAAGGCATAGATAAACATTCCATACAAAAAAAACAATAGTTTTCTGTGTTTTTGAAAAAACTTATAAAGCGAAAAGGAATAAAAAGGAAATCCAATTTTTGTGTATCCAGAACTAAGTTATCAACACGGAAAATTAAATTTAGAAAATGTTTGCTTGAGTACATATTTGAGAATTGTATGACAAGCAATTTTTTTTTAAAAAACTTTGATTTTTTCATCACCAGGCTGTCCACTAGAATCAAACAGCCTCAGAAAATATATTATATCTTTTTCAATCATGCTTCGAAATCGTATGAAAATTGCATGACAAGCATTTTTCCATATTCTTGATGTGTGGAATTGTATGATAAGCTTTTTCGGTGTATGGATGGATACCAGTGTAATTATAAAACAAAGCTATAGGTAGCCGGTTGTTGCGCAAGTAACGCAGAAAAAAACTCCAACCAGGCTTTTAAAAAAACGGAAAAAAAGTTTTTTTCTTCTTTTTAGACTTGTGACGTCTTTTGCTCTTAGATTAGGATATCAATAAAATAGGAAGCATCTCGCGTATTTGTTTTTGATTTGAAAACAAAACTAAATATTGCACAGGAAAAGCTAAATTAAGCTTCAAAATCTAGACTTCCCGGAGAAAACTAATATAATCATGACTTAAAGTAAGTTTTTCGTCGTGTATTCAGAATCAGACAAAAGGCTAGAACTTTGACACCGAGAAAACTTACTAGAAATTTTCTCGTAGTTCGAGTCACGAGGTACAGGTCTTTGAAATGATAAATCTATACTGAGGATTATTGAGGAATTTGCTTTTGCCCGGAAAAAACTAAAACACACGGGAAGACGATGTTACTTCCCGATTCAGTGGTCGGACCAAAGTTTTCATTAAAATTGTTCATACAAAAAAAGGAATACAAAAATATAAAAACCTAAAAACATAACACAAAGAAATATAATAAAATGAAAAAGTACAAAAACAATAGAAATAACCAGTTGTTGTGATTTCGTCTGAGAACATTCCCTTCCGTCTCCACTGATCGAGAAAAACGGTTCAATTAAGAATTTGATTTTTTTTCAAACTTTAATAACTTTTTGTCCGAATTTCCTATTATATTTTCTCGTTAAAAACTTATGTAGAAAACATTAGAAAGACAAAAATAACCGAGTGCTGTACACTAGAAATGAATATTCCATCACGCTGATTGGGGGAAAAGTTGAAGAAAAACTTGATAGATTAATAGAATGATAGAAATTGTCAAGGCATCTTTTTGGTTTTTTTGATTTTTTTGGAATCGAAGGAATACATGTACATTTGGAAATATGTACATACATAATTATTGTATACTAGCAATTTTTTGTGGTACCTGATTTTGCGTGGAAAACTGAAACACACCCGAATACAAAGTTCCTCCCCGTTTTTCAAATGATCGGAACAATAAACATTTTTTTTTTCAAAAAAATAATGGATTTCAGGAAGATGAGGAAACCGAAGAAAAAGTTGACGATGGCGAAGAAGGTCAAGCAGATGACGCAAAAGAGGGGCAAGAGGGTGGAGCTCAGAAGGACAAAAAAGCCAAAAAGAAGGAAGGCGAACAGGAAAAGAAGAAAGCCAACAAAAAGAATACCAGCAGTGAGTCATCCATGATTTATTGTTCCGGCCACTTCATCGCCACTTTCCGACTACTAAGCCTATGTTCCTATAACGGTGGTCGGAATTCATGCATATCAACCAAATAGTTTTGGTTAATGTTCCAGTCAATCACAAAAGATTGGGAAGAAACTTTGGCTTTGTTAAAAAATTAGGATACCACTCGTGTTGTAAAAGAGTGACTTAAACTAGGAATAGATTAAGACTGTGGATGATTAAGATTCCTACTAAAATAGTAGGCTTTTATTTAAAACTAAATAAAAGACGGAGATTCTAACTAAGATAAAATACGTGTTAAAAGATTGAATTGGTTACGTTTGTTTTGTTACGTATCATAAAAGATAGTGTCCAATTCAGAGTCTACCAAAAGCCGATGCGCTTTTGGCAGGTATATAAATTAACAACTAAAGGTCGGCGGTAAGTTAAGATCAGAGGTTAAATAGACAAACCATAATACTTTTACATTCCCCGCGAAATTTATCTCTAAACTATCCCTTTCGCCTCATCAGAAGGGAATAAAACAAAAATGATTAAGCACTAAGATGGATGAATTAGTAAGCGCATTATCTAGGACCCCCCCGAGAGTGGATCTAGAATCGTTAATACGAACTTGGTAAAGGGCCCAAAAGGCGTATTATAAACTGAGAAGAATAACACGGTTGTCAGATGTAAAGGGTGGGTGTACAAAACGAGGACTACCAATGATCGAGCCCGATGGGCCGGACGGCATGTTCGTCAAACAAAAACAAAATTCCAAAACAAAGCACCTTAGATCGAATAATATGTATTCGCCGAGAAATAACTGTAGGTTAGTGACAAAAGGCAAGTAAGGAACTGAAATAGCACCAGGGTGACTAAGATCATAAGGTATGCAGAAAGTTGTCGTAAAATTAAGCGGAATACTGGGTATAACCAAAATGAATAAATCTAATTGTTATCCGATGGTAACGCCCCATGGGTGAACAGAACTTTAATGGAGTTCGGCAAAATTCTATAGCCAAAACAAGGGTATAAATGTTACCAATCATCACCATGACTTAAAATAACAGCACTAGAGGTTTGTATGACCCTAGGGTCCTGGAATGTTAGGCGATAAACCATAAACAGAACCTATAGGTGCTAAAAGTTTTACAATGGAGTTTTGATAGGTTGAGAATGTTTTTGATGACATCTGTTTTTGAGCTCCTGCGTCTAATCAGATTCCCGATTTGCTGCTTTATTTATAGTCCATCTTCTTAGCTCCTCCAGCGTCATTGGCCGTCCAAGGAGTTCTATCGCCGAAATGATAGAGGAGGTGTTCAGCCAGTCTGGGTCAGATACGATGGGTATAAATGTAGGAGTTGAAATTTCATTAGATAGGCCCGATGGGTTAAATCGGGTGGAACAAACATCAGGGCTAAATTTGACGTTCTTGTCTGGGCTCTTTTGATCGGCTGTTTTTGAGGGCTTTGGGTCACTTGAGTACGCGTCGATATCCTCCCGCAAGTGAACTATGGTAGGGCGTGATGAAGAAGGTGGTGTTAATGTTGTCAGGTCTACTAGGTCGACATGATGGCTTTCTACCGTAGTTGCTTCCAACGTTGAACACACTGAGACGAAATTAGATGAACCGAATTCTGGGGCATCGCGGTCTTCCTCAGTTAGATCGACTATACTGGTAAATACTCTCTCACCTAGCATCTTGGGGGGCTGCCTGGTTCGCATGGGTCTCGTGTTTTGACGTGTAAAAATTTCCGATAGTTTTTTCGAGGGTGGTGATTTCATAGGGGATGAGGCTTTCCTTTTAGCAGTACCGGACAATTTCTGTGACTTTTTAGTGTGGTCAGAAAGTATTTGTTTCGGTCCCATCTCCGCCATGGTAGGTTGATCTCCAGTAGATTTAGGGAACTTTACTCCGGGATTCTCTGAAGGTACCGGCATATCTTGGGTCGCTTCATTACTCTCCTCCCTAGTGTCTAAGAGGATCAGCTGTGGGGTCGCTTGAGAGTCTCTTTCGTTGTCACCGGAATCCAAGTTGATCAAAGGAATCTCATCTAACTCGACCTTCTGGTCGGCATGGTCTGATGTTTCTAACTTAGGATCTGATTGGTCGGGCATTGGTGGTTCGTCTCGTTTCGTGGTTTCGAGCAGTGTTTTCTCCTTGAGGTCTCTTAGTGTCATTAGGTCACTCGCATTATCATCTGACATATCTTCATGTGAGTCAATCGTCACTCCGGGTTCGTTTAAATAACTTTTAAGAAGTTCGGGTTTACCCGGCGGGCTTGGTTCTTGGTCAATCTCGAGGCCAATCGGTGTTCTCAGTCTCTTTCTCTGTTCTTCTTCCTCTCTGAGAAGAGTTTCCCTAGAACTGTTCATGGCCGCGTTTCGTCTCGCAATGTCGAGCTCTTCAAATTTCCACTGAAGGTTTCGTTTCTTCTGGGTTGTTTTTGAACTTTTGAATCCGACATTTCTTGGAGGTTTTGCTGTTTTCCTGAGTCCTTTGGTCGCGTAAAATCTGACTAATTGGTCTCGTTTTCTCGGACTTGGTTTCTTCTGAGTGCACTGTCTTTTAATGGCTAAATCAGATTTACGTATTATTTTCCCATTTTTTAGAGTCACGGTGTGATCTGATTCTCTTACAATTTCGTCCTTGAGTATTCTATAGTAAGGTTCATTTTTCATTCTATCTTGGATTTTTCGATAAACAATGGTCTTACCCGACGGGTTGTTCAGAATCGAGTCCTTTATGCCCAAGGCATCTCTTTTTTCTGACCGGGAGAGGACTTTTACTGGGGATCCTGCACTTGTTGGTACATATCTCACTGCGTTTGAGATATCCTCCGAGGATGATGAATGATCATCGGCATCTCCATCTTCAATGTCGTCAGGAGCGTCCCAGTCATGTCTTCGCTCTCGGCTCATTAGTTTTTTGCCTTTATCTATACATAACAAAGTTTTATTCCAGTCAAGGTTATTCGAAGAAGGTGATTTAACCAAATTATGCCAGATAGTGTTTGGGGATCTACCGAAATGTGCTTCGAAAGGAGAGCAGTTAAGCGACTGTTGAGTTACTGTTCTTAAGCATTTTATTATTTTCAGGAGTGCAGATTCTAAAGAAGGTTTTGGGCGTTCTTGTGCCATCACCAGGAGTCGTTCCTTAATAGTCCTGATTAGACGTTCCACTAATCCGGTAGCTCTGTGATCACCCACTGGGCTAAATATCACCTTTATGTTGTGATCGTGGCAAAATTCTCTAACTTCCTTGGAGATAAAACCAGATCCTTGATCTGTTCTAATTGTCCTAGGTATCCCGTGTAAAGCGATATATCGACTAAGGAAGTTAATAATAGATTTAGCCGATGTACTAGATGTTATTTGGGCTGATGGGAATTTTGAAAATCTGTCTACACACACCAATATGTATTTTTTTGTTCCCCATACTAAAGGTAACGGGCCAGCGAAATCTAATTCCATTTCTTGGTTTGGTTCTTCGACCATTGGGAGTTTCCCTAGGGTATTGTGTTTTATAAGAGGCTTCAGATTTTTACCTGCTTTTACGCACTCTATACAGTTTTCACCGTGGACTTGGATTTCGCGGTAAATTTTCGGCCACCAGATGTATTGTGTTGCCAGGCTTTTCATTGCGAACTGGCCGGGGTGAGCTTCATGAAGTCTGTTCAGCATAGTTGATCTTAGGCATGCTGGGATTACTAAACGGTTGTCCAAATAGAGGCATCCTCCGCTGACATGTAGATTATTCAAATATGACTTATAATAGTTTCCGAGATGTAGGATATCCTGTTTTCTATCTTCCTCGATTGCCTTGATTATCTTTTTCAGAATTAGGTCTTGTTTCGATAAGAGGGACATAAATTTAGTGTCAAATATTTCCGGCCAAGAGAAAGGGAATAAGTTAACTGTTTTCTTCTTGCTAGGTGATCGATTCTCGGGTTTTTCCGACGGGTTACTAGTGTTTGGTGTTAAAACGTCCGTGTTTTCTTTAATAGTGTTTTCAGTTTGTTCTGCCATTTCTTTCAGGATTTTAAAATTCGTAGAAAAGTCGTTAATTTTACAGGATGAGTCACACAGTTCTGTACGCGAGTGAGAATTTTGACACACTGAAATGTTTGAATGTTTAGATATCGCTTGGAAAATTTCAGCGGCATTAGCAATTCGTTTCTCACGTTCTATTTCTTGACTGGTCATATGATCTGTTGACTGGCCAATCGCATTACAAAAAGTGACGTCATCTGTTAAGAAATGTTGAGAGAATTTATTTCTTATTTGCGCCCACGAATTTTTTGGCATAAGGTGATCAAAGCCTAATAGTGTACTAATCTGGTTTACAGAAGCGATAACGAACTTCTCGTCATCCAGGGAAACTGGTACGGGTTCACCCGATGGGTGTCGGGATATATAGTCGACAAATCCCATATCTTTACCGGGTAAATGTTCTACAGTAAAGTCGAACGGTAATAGTTTATCCGCCCAACGGGTGAGACGTGATTGGGCCGTTTTAGTGTATTTATCGTCCTTCAGTGCTCCTATTAAGGCTTTGTGATCTGTTAAAATTGAGAATTGTTTACCCAGTAGATAATTTTTGAAATGATCTAGTGCCCAGACTAATCCCAGTAATTCGAGTTCGTTAGTGCTGTATTTCAGTTCGGCGATATTCAAAAATCTGCTAGCGAACGCTACTGTCTTCCAATTCCCCCAATGGTCTTGTTCGATTGACGCGCCCAATCCTAAATGTGAGGCGTCACATTTCACCCGAGTGTTCAGTTTTACATCGAAATGGTGATTTGTCACAGTATTACAAATTTCGTTCTTGATTTTTTCAAACGCTTCCGTATGTACAGTGGACCACTTAAATGGTTTATTCTTTTGCATGAGTTCTCTGAAGGGTGTTGATAAGGACGCTAAGTTTGGTATGAACTTATTAAATTGGTTAATCGATCCCATTAAGGATCTGATGTCCTTAATACAGTTTGGTTCTTTTAAATTTCTGATTGCGTCAGATTTGTGTATCAATGGTGTCGTCCCTTTTGCGTCAATTCTAAATCCCAACCATTCTATATTATGAGTTAAAAATGTGCATTTTTCCCATTTTATGGCAAGTCCCTCGTCGTCTAGCGTTTTTAACACATTAGTGACTAGCTTTTTATGTTCTTCCTCGCTACCTACGGTGGCGATTAGGATGTCGTCAAGGTAACAATGAGTATTTGGTAGTTTTTCCGTCAAACGGTCCATTATACGTTGAAATTCATTAGGCATGTCGCCTAGTCCATAGAATCCGGTTTTAAAACGGTATGAACCCGTTACTTCTCCCCCCACAATATTAAAATTACACTGATTGCTTGCCTTTTTCGAAAGCGGAATTTGGCTGTAGGCGTATTTTAGATCTATCGATGAGAACCAGATGTTTCTTTGATCATGGCCGCTAATAGTGACTGCGACGTTGTCAATTAGTTCGAATAGATTTGGCATTTGATATCTATTACGAAATATTTGTTTATTTAGTAGTTTTGAGTTCAACGCTAGTTTTATTGATCCATCCCTTTTTGCTGTAATCACGATGGGGGAAATAAAACAATCTTCAGAGCATCTAGATAGTTTTTCAATGTGTCCGTCACTCAATAGTTGGTCGATGCATAGTTTGACTTTGGGGAGAAGATGGATTGGGATACGTTTCCCTTTCACCTGTATCGGTTTTATCGGCTCGTTAAAATAAGTATTAACTACGTAGTTTTTTGATCTACCAGTTCTTTTTATAAGGTCTGAAAAGTGCTTTGATATGTATGATTTAAACTCACGTTGGGATGGTGTCTCTTGATTTTGATCCTGTTGGATGTCGGATGCGAACTTTATCTGGTTGACATTTGTCCCGATGGGTGGTACTTTCTGATTTTCCCGTGACTTTGACCCGTTGGGTGGAGGTTGTTTTTGAAATACTACAATACCCAAATTCGGTAGGATGTCGTTTCCTAGTAGATTTCTTTCCGCCCCTTCTGTGATAAAGAGTTTTTGATCATTAGCCTCCCATCCTTTCGATTGGATTTTCACTCGAACTTTTCCAATAATATTGATCGTACTCCCGAAACCCTGGTATGCTTTCTTTGTTATCTCGTCCACCGGTTCTAGCTTTACGAATCTGTCTCGTATCTTCAGTTCATGTAGTAGGTCTTTCTTCATGAAGGAAACTGGGCTTGCAGAGTCAATTTGAATCTCGGTATAGTAGGGGTTGAATTTTCCCAGAGCTACTTTTAGTGTCTTTTTCAATTCTACTCCTTCGTGATTGAATACGGTTCTCACTCCGCGCTCTATTCTGTCTTCTACGGCATTTATTTGATTATTTGTGTCGATGGCTAGAACTAAGAAGTCGTCTAGGTTAACCTCAAATTCGGGGTTTTCCTGCGGGTTGGCCCGGACATTTTCGTTTTCTTGGGGTACCCGATTCTGATCGACGATGTTAGTTTGAGTTTTAGCTGAACTCCTGCAGTGTTTAGCAAAATGTCCTTTCCGTCCACACGTATTGCAGTTTCTATCTCTAGCCGGGCATGTGGATAGGTGTCCTTTTTTGAATTGCTGGCCGCAATTACGGCACTTGTTATTTTCGACTATGTTTAATGTTGGTTCGTTCTTCACATATTGTGATCTTGGTCCTGGGTTGTAAGTTGGGAATTTTAGGTACTGTTGATGGATTTTAGTACCTTTTTCGTGAACTAGTACGTAAGATAATACATTTTCTGGGGTCAAGTATTCAATGCATAGTTTCTTTTGGATCTCGACATTTCTCATGTTGGTTATGAAAATATCTCTTACTAGTTCTGACTCGAGTTCCCCCAGTTTACAATTTTTTGCTAGTTCTGAAAGAATTTCATGGAATTTTTCTAAGGACTCATGTTCTTTCTGTCTTCGGCCGAAGAATTTGAATCTTTCGTATGTTAGGTTTGTAGTGATCGTGAAAGTCGTTTTTAATAGTTCCCAAAATTCTGCGAAATTGATATCCAGTATTTTTTTTCCAGGGTTTTTATGAGAGAAGCATTTCTGTCCTTCTTTCCCGAGTGCTAGATATAGCTGTGATTTGAGCTTCTTGTCAATATCTCCTATTTGAAGTCCGTTGAATTTGGCGTTATCTTCCGCCCTTCTCCTTCTTACTTCTTCGTTGTAATTTTGTACTGCTACTCTATGACGTTCCTCTTGTTCGGCCCGACGGGTCTGATCCTCGGATGTGTCCAATGGTTCTGCCATAGGGTAAATTAGTTCATCTCTTATCGGTGGGTTAATTACATCTTCGATGTCTACGGAATCTTTCGCAATAATTGTCAGTTGGAATTTTTCCGCCCACCTTTCCCAGTCATGTTGATTTTCATTCGATGAGTTATTCCAGAAAAACTCTAATCCGCGTAGGTTTGATTCATTCGACTGCGCCATGTTAAAAAATTAGGATACCACTCGTGTTGTAAAAGAGTGACTTAAACTAGGAATAGATTAAGACTGTGGATGATTAAGATTCCTACTAAAATAGTAGGCTTTTATTTAAAACTAAATAAAAGACGGAGATTCTAACTAAGATAAAATACGTGTTAAAAGATTGAATTGGTTACGTTTGTTTTGTTACGTATCATAAAAGATAGTGTCCAATTCAGAGTCTACCAAAAGCCGATGCGCTTTTGGCAGGTATATAAATTAACAACTAAAGGTCGGCGGTAAGTTAAGATCAGAGGTTAAATAGACAAACCATAATACTTTTACAGGCTTAGGTTGGTTTTGTTTCCAGCTGTGATTTCAAGAAGCAAACAAAAGGCTTGTAGATAATCATTTGTACCATTTGACTGAAGCACTTTTAGTGAATCAGATTCAGAAAAAAATTCTCTATTTTATAGCTAAAAAGCAAGATGATCCCAAAAAGAAGAAAGATGAAACAACAACTGAGAAAAAGAAGAACACGTCACAGAAAAAGAAAGAGGTAAATACTTTGGCCAAGATTCAAAGCAAACAATTGAGACCACGAAACACTTCTTTGAGTCTGAACCCTTGCATACTAAAAGTTTTCACTTTATTTCCCAAAAATAGAATTTTCTATAAGTTTTGTTATTGGCATTAACTATATATTACAATAAAACTATATTCGAGATAAATCTAGCTAGTTACCCGAGGAAGAAAAGGTAAAGGGCTAATAAGGTGCCCATTAATATTCTAGAACCAAATTAACATCCTGCCCCAGAGCCGTTTAGGGGGAGGGTGTTAACTTTGTTTTGAGTTTTAATCTTTTTTTTTTAGTTATAACCAGCCAGAGGCCTAACCCAATGGTGAACTACTTAGGTTATTTTTTGTTCTACTCTTTTTCGGTTGACCACTGTCGTTGTGTCCGACTTTGAAAAGCATAGCATTATGAGAGCGCCTCAACTCGAGAAGCCAATCAGAATAGAGCATTTTTATGCAGCTCTTAGCATTTAAATTGAACGCTGTGGTAGAGTTGGAGTATCTGAACACGGTTGTCTATCTGGGGGGTGGGAGTTGGGGGGGTGGGGGGGTGGGAGGGGGATGTTAACTTAATCTCTATTCTATCCTAAATAATTGAATACTCATGATTTGTTTATTTGTTTCAGAATGAGGAGGGCAACGAAGAAAAAAAAGAAGACGAAGAAGAAGAAGATGAAGAAAAAGACGAACAGGAAGACTCCGAAAAAGCCAAAAAAGAAAAGCTGTGGGTTTGATCAAAAATATCTTAAAATCATAAAGTGTTGTTTTGAGTTTGTTCGAAACAAGCGTCGATGCAGCGAATATTTTTTGAGTGCGAAAATTAAGATAATTTTTTTTTAATATTGCGCATGAGTATCGGGTCGGTATTGTTTTTGTTTCTCCGGGCTCCTAGTTGGTACAATTTTTGGCGAATTTTCTAACGTAAAATAAAAACCAATGATCAGTGGTGCATACAGAAGTTTTTTTTCATGGAAAAATAGATACCCATAATTGAAGTGGAAAGGGTGGTAGCCAATTCTCCGCCCTATATACAGCTCATTAAATTGAAACTGGATTGTGCTCAATTCGATATTTCAACATTTTGCACAGTGAAACAAAATTTAAATCTAATCTTTATACTGTTAACCAGTGGATTTTCAAGGTCGGGTATGGGAACCAAATGTGTTCGGTTTATGGTAGTCAGTTAACCAGCCAATTGTCAAATCCAATAACTTGAAAAAACGCTTTGTTAGTAAAAACTAACAGGTGGGGTTTAAAAGGAAAAAATACTCTTATTTTTTAGTTAACCAGGTTTAAAACTTCACAAGTAAAAAAGTCTTCTTTTTCAAACTAACCAGCCAGAGGCCTAACCCGATGGTGAATTTTAGCTTCTTTTTATTCGCTCTTTTCTTTTTCGGCTGAGCACTGAAATTGTGCTCGAATTTATAAGCCATAGCATAATGAGAGCACCTCGACTGGAAAAACCCACAAAGCTACGATTTACACGCAAGAGCCCATCTTGCTAATTGCAGTGAGTGCGATTCGAACCTGCAACGTTACGATTGCTGGGCACCATCACTACTGGAGCGTCACAATGCCATATGGATGATGGATGTTGATAAGCCCTCAAATGGGGCTCTATTTTTAAGAGCATAGGGTAGGGGGGGGTCTCTCATTGTAAATGTATCTGGTGTGTTACAGGAAGAAAGAGAAAGAGGAGATCCAGTACAGAAAGGCGAAAGACATCTGGGTGACGTACAGCTACGACTACATCTTCGAGAAGTCGGAGAAGAAACAGGACGGACTCTTATCCGGTATGTAATGATGACTCATCTATAATTTGATTTTAATCACATATAACTTCTGTTTTTTATTGCTTTCTTTGAAGTCTCTAAGACATTTGTGTTTTATGCTGTCTTAAGCAATGCCTTCAGTGGTATGCTTCCTGAATAAAAATTAATTGTTTTACTTTCAAAAACTGTTGTACTGCAAAAAGTATTCTCAAAAACTGCCCTAGTGGAAATTTTAAATCTTCCCTTTTTTCGCCTCATTCAACACACACTCGATCGTTCTGTTCAACGACAAAATTGACAAATTTTCAAACTTAAATAAAATTTTTATCTTCTGGCATAGTTTTTCTAAATTGATTTACGAGCGTTGAAGTACTTAACTTACCATCAAAAGTGGTTTGTTTGATTTACAGGAGCGCTTATGAAAGACCATTTTGCTCGCTTAGTTGTCCAAAAGTGGTCTGGTATTTTTGCTGTTGTAACCTAATCATGACAATTCAATTTGTGCTCATAAAATCAATGAATAAATAATCTGTTCAACAACGATCAAAAATGCCTAAGAGATTTAGGCACCTAAAATTTCTACAAAAGGGGGGCTTTCAAAATATTTTGGAAAGATTTATTGATAATTTCAGGTTTTTATTGATCTTTTGATTTCCGGCTCTCTCAGTGGCTCTTAAGAAGACATGTATTGCCAAAAAGTTACGGCGCTACAAATTTTAATTACTGTTTGAAAAATTGAAAACAATACCTCAAGGTAAACCCGCCCCCATATTCAAATTGTATAATAAATTCGTTTATGAATCAGGCACATTACAGAAACTATTTATTATAAATGCACAATTTTTGTAATGTAAATGTAAATCAAAAGAATAATCAAAGCCTGAAATTATCAAAAAAATCTTTTAGGTCGGAAAGTTTTCTACTTCGAAAAAAGATTTGAAAATTGTTCCCGGTTATTTTCATACATAGGCTAAAGCGAAGTAAGTTTCCACTTTTTTAGGGTAGTTTGAAGATTGTTTCAAATAATTTATTCTAATTGGCGTTTTATTGCTTCAATTTTGCTTGCACTTCTGTATTCGATTATTGTCTATTAAGTCTAGCGTCTAGAGCAGACCCGTCTTCTTGTCATTCACCTCGAACACACCCCCCACTCATAAAAACAAACAACAAGCAACAACTATGAAGTTAGAAATTTTGAAATAGCCGGGAACGTGGAAAAGTCCCGAACTCGATACCCTCGACCCAACAATCCCTAAATTCGTGAGATAATCAAACCCTTCACCCATTCAACATGTCCCTGCTATGGGCTTTTTTCATCATATTTTCACGATCCCATTCAGGGGCGGATTTAGGGGGGGGGCTGGGGGGGGGGGGGGGTACGGACGTTCCTCCCCTCTCAGGGATTCGACCCCCTGCCGACCCAAATGGTCCCCCCTTTGATACTTTTTCAGAAATCCATTTTTGGCCGACCGACCCTAAAATTTTTCTAAAGGCGCCTTGGGCGCCAATATATACTAACTTTGAGGGGGAGCGCGCGCCAAAAATTTTTTCAAAAAAAGCCCAAAAACGGCTTTGTTGACTGGTTTTTCAAAAATCTGTATGCAGCGCAGAAAATTTAGCCAAAATAGGGGCAAAACAGTGCTTTGGGAGAGCTCGAAAAATCAATTTGGTCGACCTAAAAAAAAAAGGTCGTCAAAATTTTGGAAAATTTTTTGAAAATCTGCCCCCCCCTCGAGAAAATCCTAGATCCGCCCCTGATCCCATTAGTTATCTGTGTGTTCGTGTTCAGCTGTGAGGAAGAACAAGAAGTACTTGAAGGATGTGTCGGATGGAGTGTGGGACAAGTTGGTGAGTGACAGACGGAAGGCATACGACAAGATGGTCAAGTGGAGGGAGGAGCAGGAGTACGCACTCAGACACGGACCACCACCCTCTCAGAAGAAGAAAAGGGTAATTTACACATCATATATGCAAAAGAGTCTCCCATATGCGTGTTTTTGGAGACTCAGCAATAGTTTTTGATGGGGGCGGACTTTGAAAAAGTTCCAAAATTTGTGTCGGCTTTTTTAAGGTCAACCAAATTGATTTTTCTGACCTCTCCCAAATCAATTTGCTCTAGCAGTTTTATTACGTTTTCCATCCAATCATACTCTACAATTATTTTACCTAAAACGCTGCTTCGAGTAAATTTATAACACGACTGCTCGTATATCAGGGCAAAGTCCTGAATGTTCCAACTGCCCCTATATCCATATCGAATAGTTTTTGGGAAAAAGAAATATTGAAAAACTATAGACTTTGGACAATTTCAACGACCAAGTATGAAAACCTGAGCCGTGCGAAATTAATACGACCGATTAGCCTTTATTGCGACTTTTTAACTAGCCATTTTGACGGAATTTTTTATAACATTCAAAAGGTACTTGAGCTTAAATTATAAAAAATATTTTACCTGTGATCATTTGTGCTCGCGGTGGTTTTTTTTCAGACAAATTGCGACTTTTTAACTAGCCATTTTGACGGAATTTTTTATAACAATCAAAAGGTGTTTTGAGCTTAAATTTTTAAAAATATTTTACCTGTGATCATTTTTCGTAAAGTTATGGGTGTTTAAAGATTTCCAATTTGGGCAATTTGGGACAATTAACGCTCAATATATTTTGCGGAGATTTAATCCGTCTTAGAAGTCGTTCCAAATTGGTTGAAGGAGGTCTAATTGCCATAATTGGTTTGTTAAATTTGAAGCTAAATTTATCACTTTGTACTTTAAAAGGCGCATTTTTACAAAAAAAATCTCACTTTAAAAAAAATCGCTGAATTCATTACATTTATGTTTCCATGTTATTACTGCTCCATAGACCTTAAAAGGCAGTAGGAATGTTCAAGGCATTGTCCTGATACGAGCAGTATTGTTCAGTTGGTAACAATTTTGTTGTGCGAGATAATTCGCCAAGCATAAATATTTCGCGTTATGCTTTCAGGAATCTACAAAATGCGCAAAAATTTTCCAGAGCATGGCCAAATTAGCAATTTTCAAACTCCCAAAATTTGCAAAAAATGATCAAATACTTATCAAATTTTATTTTCAAAGAATCGATATCTTCGAACAACTATTATTTTGATTGCCGAAAACTGACTGAATAAAAAACCACGCCCGTTCTGTGTCGGAACAATCAGCTGAAATGTCGGAATAGTAAGTGTCGGAACAATCATCTTGTTCCGTCTTCGAAAGTCGGAACAATCAGATAAAATAACTAAAACTACACGTAATTAGAATAAAACTGCTGTATTGGGCAAACTTTTTAGTGTTCCGACTGCTTCCTTTTATCAATTACAAGCGTTTTGATATTAAAAATTACTAAAAAAAATTTCAAAATGAGATAATTTTTTAAACTTGACAAAATTATATATCAAATGAGAAAATTATATATATATATATAATTCTATTTCAAAATTTCACCCGCTTCACTAGCAATTGAAAAGAATGAAAAAATAAACGATTAGGCCGCCTTGGTTTATTTTGATGCTTGCGCATTTAAAAAATTGTTTTACACTTTAATTAGCCCAATTAATATCATAGTCGTCAAAAATAGACCCAAAATCAAATCACCAAATTTCAACAAAAAAAATTCGAAAACCTTTTTGAATTTTTTTCATATTTTGTTGCACTAAGTTTTTTTGATTTCTTTTGCCAGATTAGAGCTAAATGAAGTTTCAAAAACTAATTTTCTATTTGCAAAATAATTTTTAAGCCTAAATTGGTAACTGTTCCGACCTCTGAAAATGGGGAAGAACTTTGTTTTCGAGTGTGTTTTAGTTTTTTTTGGCTTTTTGTTTTTATTGGCATTTTTTTGTTTGGCACGCAAAATTAGATACTACAAATAATCATCGGACTGGGTTGATAAACTCAGACAAAAAGCCCTTCTGTCAAGCTATAAAGTTTTCCCAGTATCTAGAAAAAAACGGTTTGAAATTTTTGATTTTTCGTCTTAATTCGAGCGAATGAAGCAAGCGAGCGGGCTTACAGCAGCTGCATTATGCCTAAATTAAAACCTTATTTTAAGCAAGTAAAACTAATTTTTGGCGTTTTTTTTAGCTTCATTTTAGAAACCAATAATTTGAAAAAGTCAAAAAATTTCTGCAAAAAATTTTGAAAAAAAAAATATTTTTTGAATTTTTTTTGTAGATTTTGCCTGAATTATAATTTCATGTCAGAATTTTTCATCACACCAAGCAGAAAAAACTACACTAATTTTAAAAAAGTTTTCTAAACCTAGTTTCCTGAAGATCATGGTCGGAACAAGTAACTGGCTATCCTTGTTTTCGTATATAACAAACGTTGCTCGATTGCTTTACTCGCTCAAGCCGGCTTTTCTCGACATTTTATGGAAATTTTTGTAAGTCGTTCGAATCAAGACTAAAATGACTTTAATATGATATATCACTCGACACTGTCCGATGATTATTTGTGGTACCTGATTTTGCGTGGAAAACTAGAAAAAGTCGATGAATACAAAAGTAAATCACACCTAAACACAAAGCTCCTCCCCATTATTTTTAATGGTCGGAACAAAAATAACCCAATTATGAAACAAGTTTTGATTAATATAATCATTTTCTATAATAAAAATTGCGCTAAAAAGAGATAACACTTAAATTAATATAAACGAATATAAAAAAGAATTGTTCACAGTTTTTCGCAAAAAAATCACCTTTTCAGCAAAGTGTTGACTCTTGCAGACAATTTTCTTTCCTGAAAATTAGACACAAACTTTGATCGGAAACAATTATTTTGGGGTTTTGATCGGTCGCTGAAATTGCATACATCATTTTTTGGTTGTTCGATCAAAAAATTGATTCGGCTTTCTTTAATCATGTTCAATTTTGGTTTCGATAGTTAAAATCACTACTGGAACTTGGGTGAAGAAAAAAACATGTGTAACAAATTTTGGTCAAAATTTCCACAAAAACATCAAATAACTATCTTGAGATCATTCTCTAACCGGTCATGAAGAAACGGTATTCAATATTCTCGCTATGATAAATGGTAGGATGATTTAAAAATAGCCGCGACTAAAAGTTACTGTAACGCGAACTAAAACAAAGCATTTGAGGTGTTATGCAACAGTTTTTCAAAAAATGGTTTGAAAAATTAATGAGATTTTTGGTAGTGTAGAACGTGAATAGGGCGCTTAGTTCAGATCATCCTTCCCAATCAATCTTTTGGGATTATAAGTTAGAACTTGAGAACAAAATTTATTAATGAGTATGTATTATTCAGGGTGAGGAAAAATCCACAAAAGAGAACAAAGACGACGAAGATGCGGAAAAAGATCCGACAGACGACAAAGCCGACGGCCAGCAGCAAGAAGAAAGCGCAGAAATGGAGTAATAAGCTCATCATTATGGCGCACTGAAATAGAAAAAACTCCATAATCATATTATTTCTTCTCGTAACAAAAAAATTACTTCCCTCAAAATTCAAAATAATTGTTCAATTTGGTCTTAGACAAAAAAGCTCAAGCTGGCACAAAAAAGTTCAAGTCCAGACAAAAAGTTTCAAGCAAACAAAATAAAAGTGACCAGCCGGAAACTTGAATAATTGACTGCATACGAAGGCTCTCAATATTTGTTAAATCCCGGTACGCCCTCAGTTATGTTTGATTTTTCCCGATAAAATCTCAGCTTTGCCACAAATTTGCTCCATTAACGAAACTTTGCGCTGCGAAACTTTTTGCTTAGAAACAACATGGCTCAAGTAAGTAAAATGAAGTTGACAGGCTGGAGATTAATTTTTTGACTGGATACGAAGTCTCTCAATCTTTGTTAAAACCCACGTCTCTCAGATATCCGTATTTTCTCTAAAACCTTCTAGAAAAATTATCCCCGAAATAAAATAACTTTTGATGGTCGACTCACTTGAAAAAAAAAACAAATTATATATGTTCACAACCAGGGACGGATCTAGGATTTTCTCGAGAGGGAGGAAACTTTTCGGCGGTGAGTTCGCCGATTCCATGAAAAGGGGAAGCGTCCACAAGCCAACGCCCCCCCCCCCAAGTCTACCCCCTTTTAGAGCAACCCTTTATTTAGCAGAAAATTGATAATAACCAGATAAAAATATCTATTTTGCACGAACCAGCTGAAAAGTTGTAGGTGACGATCCCGAACTCTTTTCTTGCAAGGCGCACTGTTTTTTTTTGTGCATGGCCACGAAATTGCGTCAAAGTTAGCAAGATTAATTAGTTCACAAAGTGTTTGCGGAATCCACAAACAAATTTTTCAATCGTAAATTTTGTCGGCACTTAATTGCTTCTCAGTATCCTCATCTTTTGGCTTCTGTAATGCTCAATGGATTTTGAGAAATTGTACACAAGTTTACGCGAAAGTATTGTTCCGACTTTCGTAATAAAAGTAACGGAATATTTAAGCTCGGTGTGTGTTTTTTTTTCTTCAGACAAATTTCGACTTTTCAACTAGCCATTTTTGACGTGATTTTTGGTATCATTCAAAAGGTATTGTTGTCCTGAGCTTAAATTTGAAAAGTTATTTTACCTGTGATCATTTTTTGTAAAGTTATGGGGATTTAGAGATAGTCATTTTGGCCAAATTGGGATAATTAACGAGCGATTCATTTCGCTCTAATAACGCCTAAGCAGAGATTTACTCCGTCTGATAAATCGTTCCAAATTGGTTGAAGGAAGCTTATTTGTCATGATTGATTTATTACTAGGAGCAAAATGTATCACGTTGTTCTTTATATGGCGTGTGGGGGGATAAATTTCACCAAAATTCTCAAATTAAAAGGAAGTTCATTTTTTTATGATCTTTAGAGGCAGTCGAATCATTCAGGGTCTCGCCCTGATACGAGAGCAGTTTGTTCAAATGTTAGTGAGTGGACTCAGAATAAAACCAGATTCTAAATTTACTAGAGGGCTTTGCAACTTGCAATTCGATTCCATTTTCCGTTAATGAGTTGACTAAGAACCCGGTAGAACCAATTCAAGAGTGAAAAACAAGACTGCTCGTATATCAGGGCAAAGCCTTGAGTGTTCCGACGACCCTTTAATTAGTTTTTGTTTAAAAAATATTGGAAAACTATAAACTTTGGACAATATCGAAGATCAATTAGAAAATTTTGAGTCGTATGAAACTAATACGACCGATTAACTAGCTAAATTCAATTTGGAATAATTGTGTTGTGCGGGAAACGTCGCCACCAATAAATAATTCGTTTTACGCTTTCATCATTAAGAAGCAAAATTCAGACCCATATAACTTGAAACTGTAAAAATTGATCAGAAGTAAAAACAAAGTTTTTACATTTGGGTTCAAGGAATTGATATTTTCAATGAGGTAAAAAAATTTTGGTTAAAAACTATTACTTCGATCGCCGGAAACTGACTGAAGAAAAAGTCTCACCAAGCATGAAGAAAAGAACTTGGCAGAATGAGAAGCCAGTAATTTTTGAGAACAATCAGTTAATCATTGTCAGTAGTGAACTCAAACATTAAATCATAAAAAAAATATTGAACTGACTGGTAAAATCTGTGTTTTTTGTAAGTTTTTTTTGTTTTTTTTTTGTTTTTTTTATCACCGTTTTGCTGTATAAGTAAATTTTGCAGCTACATAGTCTTTTTAGCGGGTTTTAAGAGGTTGACCTAAGTTGCCATAGTGCTGATACTTCAATTGAGTGTGTTTCGAGTGCTGATACATCAAAGGAGAATTCTGAGACATGTTTGAAACTGAATTTATCAGACATAAAAATTATTTAGAGAGAGCGCCTAATTATTGTTCCGATTTTTGTAACGAAATTAACGGAATATTTGTGCTCGGTTTTCTTCTTCAGACGAATTTTGACTTTTTAACTAGTCATCTGTTGGGGATTTTTTTTTTCATTCAAAATTGAAAAAAAAAACTGTTCAAGAACAAAAAAAGTATTATCGTTCTGAGCTTAATAATTAAAAGGTAATTCACCTCTGATAATTTTTGAGTATTAGGGGTTTAGAGACTGCCATTTTGGCCAATTTGCGACAATTAACTCGCGATATATTGCGCGCGCTATTAACGCGTAAGCGGGGATTTAATCCGTCTTGGAATTTACTCAAAATTTGTTCAAGGAAGCTTATTTGCCATAATTGATTTGTTACTAGAAGCGGAATCGTTCACTTTGAACTTTATATAGATTGTGACGGGATGATGATAACAAAAAAATCTCCAATTTAATAATATGAAATTTGTGATATTTTGTGAAACTTTGCCCTGATACGAGCAGTCTAAATCCAATTAAGCTTTATTTGGTTTTTGGTTTGCTATATGTCGCTCCACATTTCTGATAACCAATCGAAGCCATGAGGGTGAGTGTAACAATGCAACACTTTCATGCTGCATTTTGCAGCCATTTTCGTGTTTCTCGAGAAAAGGCAGATTTTGCTTACAAAATGAGGATTCAGTTTATAAAATGCGGACTCCATTTAAGAAATGCGAATTTTGCATTCAAGTTGTACCGGATTCTGCAATTGTTTTTGTAGAATGAACAAATTAAAATTATGTTAGAGCTAGCATTTGGAGAGATACGCATGTTTATTTTATTGTCTCTGAGTTGTGGAACATTGAATAGGTTGTTCAGAAAAAGGAATTTTTCACTTTACAAGGTATAGGTTTTGAAAGCAAAAATTTTAGTTTCAAAAGATTAATTTAGTCATGGTTTTCTTTCACAACATCTACCAAAAAAGTTGGAACACAAAATTTTTTCTTGAGTGTTCTAAGAAACGAAAGTAACTGGAGGAGATTGAATATGATTTACCAATGTAATCCGGTTCTGAAAAAGCCAGTTGTCCACTTCTGCTCTAAGTTTTTTCTCCTCGCGTGAGAATTGGCAAACCCGCATAAATGAAAAGTGAAGAAAAAAAACTGATTAGAATGGATTTTCTTGGTTCAAAATATTGTCAGTAACATTGATTCCCGTGTTACGCTTAGACAACAAAATTGGACTAAATAATAAGTACAAAAAGAAGAAAATCACAAGAAAATGGATGGTTTTTCCCACTTTAGTTTTGTTTCGCTTCATGCAAAATTTTGCAAGAATTTCTGCTTTTATCAAATGAATAATTCAGAAAATTTGCAAAGCGAATAAACGGCCTACTCTTTACTCTTTTCTAAAGTTAAATTTTTTTTCAAATTGCTTAACGGTTCCGTTAACTTTTTCCCCAGCCTAACGTTTGCCCTTTTGCCCCCTTACAACTCCCTATCCCAACTTTCCCTCCTTAAGAACCCACATTGCTGAACCAACCCCCCGCTTGACCACCTGAACCAACCCCTCACCCTGAAGAACAACCCCCACCAACATATATGGACACATGGTAATCATACACTTTTCATGCAAATCCGTAGGTACAAAAAATGCATGAAAGGCCTAGGACCTTGAATTTCTATATATTTAAACTGTATGACTTGCATTTTTGCATAAACCAAAATATATATGTATATAATTTTTCTAAATTTTAAAATCTCAGTTTTTTGGGATGTGTTTGTGACCGAACACAAGTGCCAAAAAACATGATTCACTCAAAACTAAAGTCACCATAGAATTTATCTCTTGCATTCACAATGCATTGGAAACGATTTTCATTGTTTCACAAATCATGTACTGAAAAAATCAAACTTGAAGGTGTTGGCAAACTTTTGAATGATTATTTTAAAATTTGAATTTTTAAATTATCAGACTTTGATCAACGCATACATAAAATTTCCATACGAAACAAATAAGAGCTTTTAGAGTTGGGGTTTTAAAGATTGCTGTTTGGCCATTTTGGGACAATTAACACGCAAATTTTTGCGCTACTAACGCGTAAGCGGAGATTTAATCCGTCTTAGAAATTGTTTCAAATTTTTCAAGTATGCGTATTTGCCATAAATGATTTCTTACTAGAAGCAAAATCTATCACTTTCCCTTTCATATGGATTGTGGGGCGATGTTTTTAACACAAAAACTCAAATTTAAAAAGTTGAAGTTTGAGGAATTTTGCGAATTTATTTGTTTTTTGGTTTGATGTGAGGTTGGGTGTAAACATGCAACTCTTTAATGCTGCATTCTGTAGCCGTTTTTGTGTTTCATTCAAAAGGTATTGTTGTCCTGAGCTTAAATTTGAAAAGTTATTTTACCTGTGATCATTTTTTGTAAAGTTATGGGGATTTAGAGATAGTCATTTTGGTCAAAATTGGGATAATTAACGAGCGATTCATTTCGCGCTAATAACGCCTAAGCGGAGATTTAATCCGTCTGATAAATCGTTCCAAATTGGTTGAAGGAAGCTTATTTGTCATAATTGATTTATTACTAGATGTATTACTTTGTTCTTTATATGGCGTGTGGGGGGATAAATTTCACCAAAATTCTCAAATTAAAAGGAAGTTCATTTTTTTATGATCTTAAGAGGCAGTCGAATCATTCAGGGTCTCGCCCTGATACGAGAGCAGTTTGTTCAAATGTTAGTTT